CACCTCTGGAATACATCTTGCTTCCTGTGTTGAAAGGTACTCCCAGGATGACTAGTTGTCATGATGAATTAGATTACACTAGTTGTGTGGGGGGCCTTGTGTAATGAGGAACCAACCAGTCTATTATCTTGATGCTCCTCTCACTTCTGTGGCTTCTACTTTCTTTGTTGATTGATACAAAAGAGTGTATATGATGCAGCCTAAACCTGTTCCAGTCTCAGTTAAAGTTTACATGTATTCTTCCTCCTTCCCCTCCTGAAGTTTACAGGGAAAAAACTTGACTTGCCTGACCAGCTAAGGTGACCCAACAGCAGCTGGTTATGTTATCTTCCATCTTTGTCCGTATGTGGATTGGTCAGTTGGGCATGAATATGGGCAGTATCATAGCATCTGTACTAGGTTAAGGTAGAGCTCTGATGTGCTGGCCCTGTCCTGTCACCAGTAACCCTTACTCCAGTGATGTGTGGCTGCTTTATACTGCTCATCTTCCAGAGTCCTAAGCAGAAGGCTATAAAGCAACGTGATCATCTGACTGCAGATGATGTTCCTGTGTGCATGACAGCATGAGACCCTCCGTACTGTGAAAGAAGCTTCCACTGGCCAGCTGTTTTAGCCTGTGAACACAGAGCCCAGATGTGTGAATTCTGACTTGTTTGACCTGAAGTTCTTGCAGTTGGAGAGATTTGCAGGAGTGATCTTGAGTTGGCATCAACAACTAACTTTGGGTCAGGATGTGGCTGATAGATTAGTCCTGACCAGAATGGAGTAATATCAAACCATTAGTCACAGGTAGCATAGTATCTGCAGCACCAACTGGAATTGGGACATCTTTGGGTGCCATGTGACCAAGCTGTAAGCATTTCTAGTTGAAATCCCAGATCTGAACAGATCGTCTCAAACGTTCCCTGGAGTTTTTTTTCTTTCTAACTGTGTCAGTGATACATGTGTAAATAAAGCCTGGTGGCAAACATGAAGACTGCATTTCTTCAGAGCTACCCTGGTTCTTTTTCTTCTGTTGTTTGATCTGAGGCCTTGTGACAAGTGTCTAAATCTTGTCCTAGTCCAAATTTATGACTTACTTTGAGTCATCGTGCCTTGTAGTGGTCCAGTGATGCATTCTGTCCCCCAAAAGCACGTGAGGAACTATTGCTAATTAAGTTGCTCTGCTGGGCTCAGGGGAGTTACCTGTGGAATGGACTGTGCTCTGTGAGAATGACCAAAACTCATAGCAGGTGGCCAGACTAATCATTATTCAAAGCACTTAATGTACCATAATGTATGTATTTCTAATCTACTTTGGTTCAGCTGTATTTTATAGAATAGATGTACTAAATTATTTGAGAATAACTGCCTTTGACTACTTGGAGAATCAAAATGTGATGTATATTAATACAAATAAAGTGACTAAAATATACTGGAGTCTAGCCCATGTGGTGGGGCAGGTAGGTCTCACAGCATCATGTTTCCTTGACCAGAAGCTAAGGCCTCTGCTTACTCTGCAGTAGCTGCTCTGTTGGAGGATGCCAGCTTTGTGTGCAGTGTAGGTGGGCTTGTCATCTCTACCTTTCAGCTCATCTCTTTTAATGGAGTGGGACCTCAGGGTAGCTCTTCAGGTTAGTGTCAGTAGAACATGCAAATAACCTTTTGTGCATTTTTCCTACCTTCTCCCCAGCTGTATTTCAGTGGAAAAAATCTGAGGAAGTCTGAAAATTAATGGCATATCCTGGTTGCTGCCTGTTTAACCTGGTATATAGTAACCTCCTCTTAAAAGCTAAAAGTGATGATGTGTGATTAGTTCTGGGAATAGAACTTATACAACTAAAAATCTAAAACATGAGGATTTTATCTGTATTATGTGCCAGTCACCACTTCTGCCAGGTGAGTTTGAGGTCTTTTATCTGCTGTTGTATGTACGAAACTGCATCAGAAGCTGCTTACCATGGAGGTGTGAGCAAGGCAAAAGGTGGGATACTTAATTCAGGGGCAGTGCTGCCTTATGCTGGTGTAAGGTTGAGTGGTGGGAATGGAGGGGCTTTCTGGCATGAAGTTGATAAGTGTTATCAGAGCAGCATTCATCTTGTACGTAAAAGTGGGACTGTCGCCAGTCACGAACAAGATTTTGTGCTCCGAGCAAACTCTTTTTGGCCAGTACTGAAGCCATCAGTAATTGAAAATGAAATGGTAATTCCCTGTGTTTTCCATTCATGTAACTGATAGTATGAGCTATTGGTCAACTTCACCCATTACCACCTTCATTAAGACAATACTACTATTAAAAAAAAGGGGGGGGGAAATCCAAAAGTTGGGATTCACTATGCTGTAGTGTAGGTGGGCTTGTCATCTCTACCTTTTATATTTTAAAATATAAAATTAAGTCCAAGTCAAAACAGTTGCTAAAATATAACTACAGTCGGTTATAGACCATGTTTGGCAGTGGAGGAGCATATTTCATATTTGTTGACCAATTCATTCTTCATTGCATTTTGAGAAGATTTATTATTCTGAGTGGGCTTTGTGGTTTGGTGGCAGGTGTTTGTTTTTTGGTTTTGTTTGTGGTTTTTTTAACATTTTGACTCCTGAGGAATGAAGCAATGCTGACACCTTCACGATTCTATAGAAAAAAATTAAGGGATGTGGCTTCTTCATTATGTTCTTATTTTAAAATAGTGATGTTCCAGAAGTGTCTTGAAAAACCAGTTTAAACCCTTCATTAGTGAAAATTGGATCATGCAATTAAGGTCTAATTCACATAGAGAACACTGGAGATAAAAGTATGTATAAAAGGCTTAATCTATTTATTTGTATGGCTAGGAATAAAGGCAAGTTTTTATTACTGCATTTTCCCCAAGCTGCTTATTGAAAACTGTCAGAAATGGCAACTGGCACAACAACTTTTCTTATGAAAACTTGCAAAACTTCTTAGAAACCTACATCATCTACAGTTTGTGCTCTCTTTTTGCCCTGAAGATCATTTTTTCCCACACACAACCATTAGGTCTCTAGCTTAGGAAGTTAAAGTGGATGCAAAGGAAGTTTCATGATACAGAATTAAGTGTTAAAAATGAGCTTTATTGATATTTGAGCTAAATCCTCTTCTAGACAGCCCAAATGAGTTTCAAAACCAGTAGCCCAGGCAAAATAAGTCAGTGTAGAGAATATTTTGATTAAGTAGTGTTGTCTTTTCATAGTACTTATCTATATGTGCCAAATAACTAATCCAGAAGGTAGTTATAAAGTAACTTTGTACAAAAAATTGAAGTATGAATAGAGCCATAGTAAAGCCAGAAAATTCTTATGCTACCATCATCTTGCAGACCAGACTGCTGTGAAGCACTTTTTTTTTTTGGTCCTACTACTCTGTTCCTGCTAGTAGAAATAAGAGAGAAACTGTATGTTAATAGGAATAAAGAAAAAACTCTACAAATGCCTCTAAGTTATTTTTTTATTAGCTTTTTAACACTAGGATTCTAGAGTATGTAACCATGACCTCATTGACCTAATTCTCCAGGAAGAAGGTAGAAACTGAAGGTACAGTTAAACATGCAAAAACTGACCAAAACAGTTTGTTTTGAAGTCACAAATATCCTGCAGTTTTCACCTTAGACAGAGTTTGAAGTTTGATTTGGATGTGGGAAGGCCTACTTTTTATTAAGAAGAGAATATACTGCATTTAATTTTTTCTCAGATTAATACACTGCAAAACTGCAAAGCAACAGAAGCAACCTTGAATGTGGGGGAAGAAGTACTGAATGTTTCAAAGGTTAATAGAATCTCTTATTTTTATTCTTTGCTTCCCTCTTTGTAAAATAAATTACTTGTAGGTAACAATGTATTTACAAATTTATAGTACTCGCAGTACAGTGACCAGTCATGCCAAACCTAAACACACAGAGAGCAGGGGAAAAAAGTCCCATCTGATTAAGCTCTCAGAAGCATTTTACTGAAAACATGAAACATTTCAATATTGAACTCCTAAAAGCAGGAGACATTTTATTGTCTTTTGTAATTTTTATCTATTGAGAAGCTATGAAAAATACTACTCTGGAGTTGGAATTCTATTAATATGTATGAGGAGACTTTGCAATGCACAGTATTTGTTATTAAATGTAAAAAGGCACTTTCTTTCCTGCTTGCCTGAAGATAATATAAAAAACAAACAAAACCCCCAAAACACATCTGCAAAGAAAAGTGGTAATACCAAAAGACGTTAAATATGTCCACAGAACACATTCATATTTTAACAAGACAATAATAATGTTATGACCTAATAACTTCAACAGATGCTTCTATGGCATAACCTAAATTGTGAGAGTCAATGAAACACTGAAGTCCTTGATTTATTTATTTTTTTAATTTAAAAAAGAAAATTAAAAAAACCCTGCAAAACAAACCAAAGAAAATCTACAAAATTCTGTTCATCCAGGCACCACCACCAGTGCTAGAATTTAGTAATCCACACAAGGGCAGGAGCAATGTAATTCAATAAACCTCTCCTGCTACCAGATCTTGATTATTTCTTAGCAATGAACTAGACAATAATACAACCCCAAAGCAGAATAATCACCAGGTAAAACTGTCTTTCAAACAGACAATCCCTCATTGTGTTTCTGCATTGCAGAGTGGTTTGAGTGCATATTCAGCCATAGGCTGAGTCCCACATTCAAGAAGTGTTTGAAAGGAGACAGAAAAATATAAGGAACTAATAACTGGGTAGGTAAAAGTGATACAGTCCACGTTGCTGGTCAACTCCAATGTTTGACTAGGAAGAAGGTACTTGGTGTATTCGAAGAGGGACATGCAGAATTCAGCTGCAGAAACAGTGAATGGCTCCACCTAAACCAAATTGTTTTCATCTCCCCACAGTTAAACAGAATTCATACAGTCACATGTGCCCATGAACTCAAACCAGTCTTTTGTCCTGTCATGAACGTAATCAACCTTATATTTTCCTTTTGGTGTCTTCCGTATTCACAGCTTCAGAATATTTTGAATCATAGTGGCCTCCAGTACCACTTAGAGTTCATCCTAGTGACAAGATAATAAACAAATTATTCTAAAAGTAAAAATAAACCCCAAGATTATTAGGGGGTTTTTTGGTGTGTGATTTTAGTATTTCTCCAGGGTACTGATTTTTCAGCTGGAAAACCATTTCTTAAATAGAATTTGGGGTACTTCTTAACAGCTGTATATTAATTTCTCCTGAGTTAAAATGTCCATCCCAGTTTTGCATTAATCAGCCTCTCTAATTTGGTGCCTGCTTTCTCAATCTAGTCTAGGGATTACACTTAAGGATACAGTGCATCTCAACCAACTATCTTCAACACGCACATCTGTAATTCTGCTAAGTCTTGCCATAACTGATGCTGCAGCTGCAGCGTTCCTTCCCTACTGTATCTGTGGACATGGAGAACAGAGTTTGAATAAATTATAGCAAACAAAACAAGTGAAACTAAAATGTATCTGGTCTTATTTGAAGATGTGGCATTTAATATTTCACAGACAAACAGCAACTATTAGCATTGTTTTAAAGGGCTACAATAATACAAGGCTTTTGCAAGGCCCCACAATAAGTATACTTACCTTATTTCTAGGTTTTTTTCTTTTTCCTTTATTTTGAATTGCTTCTAATTTTTCATTCAAAAGATCAGCAATACCTTTTGCATCTCTGCTGTCTATATATTCACCAAGAACATTTTTCTTAAAAAGAAAAAAAATAGGTGTAACATATTACCCATGCTCTACACTTACTTTCTAAATGCTTAACTTTCAGATAAAATCCAAGAAGAATGCATGGAAGAAGAGAATGGCTCTGGTAGGTTATGATTCACATATATATGTTTATCTGCATTTAAACAATGCTAATTGTCTTTATAATAAGAACCACTCTGAGATGCTAGTTTTCAAAACTACAGATTTTGAACTACACAAGTTCTGTTTTCTTCCTTAAAGAAACCTGAAATAGTTATAGTTTTCTCACATGTATTCATTTAAGTATTTAATACAGACAGCCACTGCAGTCTGCCAATTTGTAATTCGTGTTCATGGAATCTTTCAGTGTGGGTTGCTACTTTTAAGACCTGAAAAACCATTACCCTCTAGCACAGAAACGTTTCTCTAAATTTGATGGCATTGTGTGAGGAAGCATTTCTAGAAATTCCCCTAACAGATTAAGTTAAAACAAGAAAAGGAGAGTATAATTACATTAATTGACTTAACTATCAGAATGCATTGAATGCTTTCTCTTCAGCATTAATATATTTAAAAAGAATACTATAGTATTATTGATATTTAATACTTCTACAAAAATAAAGGCAATTTTGTAGAAGTATCTGGATGCTTCTAAGTTTTTTATTTTATTACTACTTAACTGTTAGTACAAAATGTTGATTTCAATAGAGTCACACTGATAACTGAAACAGTGATAAGGTTTGTTTTTGACACAGAACACAACTAAATATTTTTAATAAATTTTCTATCTCCAAATACATTATTTAAGTAAAATTTATGATGAAATGTTATTATTACTTTGAAAGAGTATTTCCCTTAAATGAAGTTGTCCATATTTCATTTAGAGCAAGATTTTTGTAGCTGGTGGTAGAATTGGTAAGGGTTAAAAAACTGTCACAGGAAACCCTGCAAAATTAAACCCTGCTTCTTGTTAAGCAGACTTTAGTTATTGTTCTATTAATTTACAATTTATTATTTTCCAATAAATCATCATTCCTGTATTATTGTACTAATCATAGAATCATTAAGGTTGGAAGGGACCTTAAAGATCATGAAGTTCTAACCCCTCTGCCATAAGCAGGGAACCCTACCACTAGACCAGGTTGCACAAAACCTCGTCCAACCTGGTCTAGTCCAACCTGGGGCATCAACAACCTAATAATTTAAACCTAATATTTTAAATATTACTGAAATGAGTTATTATTATGCACTTTACTATGTTACAGAAATAGTCTCTTAATTCTTAATGTGAAATGAATTACATCTACTAACAGTACCTGCTCACCATTGTATACATAGGAGATACTTACCTTTGTTCCTTGGTAGGGGTAAAACTTAACTGTAGGGTAGGCTCTGATATCAGCAGTTTGACAGGTCTGAGCATACATCTGACAGTCTACTTTTCCAGCTTTTACTTTTCCTTTAACAGTCTAAAAAGAAACATTTATTAGAAACAAACTTAAGGTTTTCATGGGTGACAGTAAGCAAATAACTTGAATAAGCCAGCAGTGCAGCTAAAAGTAGACAAAAAATGTTGCTCAGATCTCAGTACTTGCTTGCTTGCTTCTCAGAATGTTAACCCTGTTATCAGAAGTCACTACATCTTCAGCAGAGCACTTCTTGAATTCAGGGCAAAGCACATCACAGTTCCCAATATCACCTCATTATCAGCTGAAGTCTGTCTCAAAAGAGGGTGTGTGTGTCTGTGCAACAGACAATACGCACTAGCACATGGGACCTAGAAGTGTGGATTTGCAATGAGATGGAGGATCACTGGAAGTATGTGATTTTTGGATGATTGCTAAGAAATAATATGCTGATTAATTATATTTTAACCTTTATGAGTATAACAACCTAGTAAAGAAGTTAAAAACCTACCTTTGCTAGCATCTCAAATTCAGGAGCAAAATTTTGGCAAGGTCCACACCAAGGAGCATAAAAATCAATGACCCAGTGATCTTTTCCATTCAGAACTTTTTCTGTGAAACTCTGAGGAGTCAGGTCTACAGACACTTGTGGTAAATACCTGTGGAAAGGAAGAACAACAGTCATCATCCATTAAAAAATTTACCCATACATAATTGCATTTAAGCAAAGAAATGTTTCTGAAATCAGTAATATTAGTAGTCTTGAAATCCCTACTCCACTCCTTTGTACTATAGGAGAATCACTTTTTAGAAGTGGTAGACAAAATAATACGGTTTTCAGAAAATGGGAGGACAGGAAGGAGTACACTCTTTTTTCTGCATTTTAAAAGCTTGAGTTAAAAAATGTGGAAACTCTAGCATCTTAAATTAAGCAATACATATACCAGTTTCTAATTCTTAATCTACATAGTATTTAAATGTTAATTTCTCCTAGAAAGCAAACTATGTAAGTGGCTTGTGAACAAAGTTTAAGGCTGTAACTTACCCAAATGCCCAGCCTCTCAGCGAATATGAATCTCTGTGCCATCCATTGTAACTACTATAAAAAGATTAAAAAGAAAACAAAAATCCAGTTGCACAGTAGTATGAATGATGTTTGAAATAAAACCCCACCACCCTGTAGAGTAGAGGTGATGAAATAATGAGCTTCAATGCATATGTTTTAGGAGATATTTCCACCTTGCTTTCAAATCTGAACAAGTCAGTCTAATTAATACAATTTAAACATACAGAATTATGACTAGAAGATAAGAACAGGAAGAAAATTCTATGTCAAGTGAGTAAGAAACTTGGAGCACATAAACTTTAATAGCTAGAACTACATTAAATCAAGGATCTTTGGTAATAACTCCAGATAAAATTGCAGGCTCTAAGAAACACAAGATCTAAAGATTTTTTTGTCTTTTCTAATTGATGTTCATTTATTACAATAAAACAATTGTTAATTATATGCATTTCCCTCAATTTGACAGTAGAAAAGCCAGGCAAACTGGTTACTTGGACAAGGATTTATTGCTTGCATTTTGGGGCATTGCTAGTTTTGAAATTCCAGTGACAGGTTAGAAAAAAAGATGAATTTGGGATTTATATTCACTTATTTACAACTCTGTAACCAAGTACTTTGCAGTAGATTTGCCTTGTCTAAATCTGACAGTAACTTCTGGTGATCTTTAAGAGACAAATTTCCATATTTGCTGACTCATGATTAGGAATCTGGCATTTAACAGTCATATTCACCAACTTAGTTGTTTTCAACAAGAAAAAAATAATGCTGCTTTTAAGAGAAACTTTATCTAGAAGAACTGAATAAAAGCAAGTAGTCCAATGATGAAAACTACTGAAGTGTGTGCCATTATACACTAGGATGAAGAGGCATTGCAATTTATTATCTGCCAGCATTTAACAGAACTTTCCAATTTGTAAAATAGTGAAGCAACACATCTGCAATTTCAGATGCTTAGCTAGCTTAAAATATGCATGTACTTCCTGAAGTCTCAGGATCTTTAAACAGTATTGTGAAATGGAAGGGACAGGCTGTTTGGTTTTAGCCAGATTTAATTTCCCATAGAATATTTTGGTTTATGATTAATGGCTGCACACTAATGATACAATGAACGGGATGACTGAAGATAGGATGGAAAATTTTTGCAATGGTGCAAATAGACTTGGTAGGGAGGATGATCAGATGGCTACATGGCTCTGTTCTCTAAAGAAAAGCTACAATCAATGAAGCCTAGTATTGTTTTTATATTACATGATTTGAATAATCTACTGTAACAGACAATTGAAGTTAGAAAAATGGCAGTAGATAATGAACAAAAAATAAAAAGATTCCTGAGGCAGTCTCAGTTCAAATTACTGAAATGAAACAACAAAATGAAATGACACTGGTTTGATATATCAGTCAGTAACATCTAGGACTGTAGTGCTGTTAATAGCCTGTCTTAATAGCTGTGACAAACCTTTTCTATACAACAGAAGATTTATAGCCATCTTGTTCCATGTCATCTAACATTTCCCAAACTGAAGTGAACTACTTACTAATATTGATGAGCTGTGTTTGATTTTTGAGGAAAGAGTCTTATTTCAGGATATCCCCGAACACTTTCTTGGTGACAGAAAGAATAGTATTTTTGACAATCCAGACTGCCCACACTGATTAATCCATTTAGCATCTGAAAAAAAGGAAAACCTACAATCAAATATGCTAATCAATAATACTACAATTCCAATAATACTTTAGGATTTTAGTTGTAATCAGTTGAGGAAAAAACAACAAAACAAACCAAGATTATCACAAGCCTTTCTTCTTTCCTGCAGATGGGTCACTGGTATGTAATGGGAGACAGCCAGCCAGGTAAATTCCCATCACGCACATATATTTTAGCATAAACTGCATGCACACAGCTCCCGAGGTTGCCTCAATAGGACACAGGAGTGTAGTTACTTAGTAACAGGATTACCTTGTTACCATTTTTCATCTCATAGGCTCACAACTTAACACAGATCCTACTTCAGTGCAGATGTTTCAGTTGCACAGTTGGCCTGTGTCTTGAGCACACTCTTAATTGTTGCCATGGCCCAAACAATCTGGCATGGGCAGGGAAGCTGGTGATTACTGACTGTTACTATAGAGCTAATAATAGAATGCTGACATTTGTCCAGAATAGAGAATTCTGGCTATAACTCCTAATTGAGGTAAGTTCTAAATGTCTGAAAATCTGACTTGTTTCCACAGCCCTATCTTTTTCCCCAGAGTTTCTAGTTCAAATTCCCAGAAGCATGTCCAGAAAAACCCAGATGGTTGTCAGTAAAGTAGTATTACCTTTGCAAATGAGAGAACACTGTAATGACCTTGCAAAACAAAAATACCCTTCCCAACCCCAACAATTCCATTCTGAAGTATGTGTACTTCAGCTAACTGACAGTCAGCCTCAAAGTGTATTAATTTATTTTCAGAGAAGAAAAAAAGATCTCGGAACAAAACCTTTCTAAATAGAGGAAATAATTAAGATGGGTGAGATTGAACTCCTGTAATCTTAAATTCAAGTCAGAGGTTTCACCAAGGTCTAAGTCCCATCTTTAAGATGACTAATGATTCACACTGTTGGGTGTGAATTACCTGTTTTGCCTGCAGTATTAATGACTAGACTTTCTCAGTTGACAAATCTCTATAACAGCAGTTGTTACCGTCTCAGTAATTCCAGAGAACAGGACACAAAAGCCCAAAAAATGTTTCTATGTCATTTACCCTGGCCATTTTTTTCCATTCTGGCATTAAAGCCTGACAAGGTCCACACCACGGAGCGTAGAAGTCAACCATCCAGATTTCCTCTCGTTTTCTTCTCTGAACTAATTCAACAAATGTCTCTGGTGTTAGGGAGACCACTGATGGATTCCTAAGATCCTAAAGTAAAGAGAGTTTATAGGCATAAACTTAGCAGCAATAAGTTATCTAGTACCCAGTGCCATCACATGCAAACTGACTGTGCCAAACTGTAAGAATGCCCCTCTTTTAGTGAAATTTGCTGGCTTCTGTGGTAAGGAAGAGTCCACACCATCAAAAGACACCCAAAGGCATCCTTTCAACCTAACAACCCTATTCCTGATTTGCCAAGAAGAGCTATATATTAAAAAAAAACAAAAAAAAACACAACAAAAAAAAACAGCGATGTTTGCTGTTGCTTCTTCATAAAGGGAGCAAAAGGCAAGAAATTCAGCTTAGCTGGCAAGAGCAGGCATTATGAGACTCAGCCATGCTGAGGCTGAGATGCAGAAAAATATGTATGGTGCACTAGGGGCCTCTGCATATCAGCTGAAAAAGAGTGATCACCTGTTCCTGAATGTGTGCTCTTAAACCTGCTTTTTCTGGGCTGCCTGCAGAGAATGAACAGTCTCTTCAGAGTGGAAAATAGCCTGTGGATCTAGCATAGAGAACCTGAATGCTACAGTAAAGATGGGCAGCAGAACTCTGTGGAGTACCAATGATTTGCAGTTCTGAAAGTTACAGTTCAAGAAACAGCTGAGAAGCATGAAGGGCAGCAAGATAATTGACAAAAATGTGAACCTCCTCCTGTGTCAAGGTGTGTACGTGAGGCATTTTCACCTTGATATTATAGCACTTCAAACTTTTAATTCCTTTATCTTCTTTATGAGGTAGAAATCACTACTATTACTTTGCAGATTGGAAGGAATCTTAAGTAATTTCCTAATGATTTCAAATAAATTACCTATAGGAAAATTAATCCATTAGGTGTCATGTCCTTGACAGTTACTGGATGACTTCTCTTGTGCAATTATTTCATTCTTTATCTTACTAGCCAAATTAATTAAAAAAAAATGAAAATCAAAACTGTAGAATCATTCAACTAAAGAATGTTTGTGGATGAGCTGCCTACAGAGCATGACTGCAACTAGGATTGTAATTTACGTACCTCTATAAACTCCAAGATCTGCTCAGCAGAGTGATGTCCTTCGTATTCATGAACATCAGACTGATTGAACACAACTGTTGTTGGATAAGCTCGAATGTTATGCTAACAAAACAGACAATGAGAAATTGCAAGGAATTATCATGTTTCACATACTTTCCTTCAACTGCGGTCAGTGGCTCACAGCTGCTAATCTACCCAGTTGGTACAGTGCAACTGCTCAGATTTACATGCAGATTGGCGTTTGAAACTATAATAATAAATTAACTGAAGCAGAAGTTAAGCAAATATATACATGGAAAACTGGGCAGGATTTTTTAAAAAATAATTAAATTCTATTACTATATCTTTAAATAAGTGTGAACTGCTAAGTAATAGGCTTTATTTTACTTTGAAATTGCTCCTGCACTACCCCTAAGTGCTACAAAACAAAAAGCAAAGTCAGTCAGGCTAAACTGAATCAGAAATGGTTTTGCAGGCATCTTCAGAAAGTGTCCCATTTGGTTTACTACCCCTAAGAAAGTAGTATGAAAGAATAAGCATTGTCTGTCCCTACCCCCAAGTACAAGAAAATAATATTCTTTGAAAGGATTGGTTTTAGTTTTTTCAGCTCCCGCAGCTTACCATGTTGCAAAGTCCTTCATGGACAGTACAGTCTAGTGTTCCAAATTTAAGCTGACCATATAGATGTTTTGATGCTTTTCTTAGCTCTGGTAACAAAGCTCGACAAGGAGGACACCACTAGAAGACAAAATGCAAGTCAGTGTAATTCCTTTCCCTGCAGTTGGTTCTCAGGAGAATGTAAACTTCTTGAGATTAATAATATGCTGCTTTGACAACAGACTCCGCTAAATGCAAAACCCACACAGTTTAGGAACTACTGCTGCCGAGGAATGAGAAACTACAACATCTAATGATACTGAAGGACACTTCGCAAATACTGCTACTGTTTTGTTACATAATTACAAAACAGATTTTAGAAGAAGAGAAATACTAAATGTTTACCGGTGCAAAGAAATCCACAAGCCATGGTTCCTTTTCTTTGTCAGGAAAATTTTGAGGTCCCAGTGTGATGACATGTGAGTTGACACTTTCTTTGGCAAATGCAACAATGTCATATAAGATCTTCTTTCCTTCAAAGAACAATGTAGCAAGAAAACTTAATTTTTCTCTACTAGATATCTCATTAAAAAACTCAGTGATAGCAACAGGAATCCTTCAGTTCCCTTGAATGATCTTTAGATGTGGCCTTCTTAAATAAATTGAACAGTACTGGCTTAGTTTTTCTCAGGAAGACAATATTAAACTGTGTAAACCTATGCAGGTCAGGCATACTTGAGGGGATAGTTGATATTTGGCTAAATATTAAACTGGATGTTTACACCTAATGTTAGCAAAAGAAGTTTTATCCAAGAGAAAACATGTTTTTGTCAAAAAGAAATTAATGCTTTTTGTGACTGGACTACTGGCTGTTTTACCATCTCACTGGTGTTTGCTGGAATTAAGAAGTTACTATTCTAGATGCACTTGCCTTGGCAAAGGTATTGACACAGTAAAAAACTTCAAGCAAAAAAAAAGTAGTATTGATAAATCGGTTTTTTAGATGTAACTGAAATTTCTCCTGACATAGCTCTAGTGGGCAAAGATCAAGTATTTTCTTACTCTTCATGTATATATTTGTCTGAAGTAATGAGAGTTTGTGTGTGGAAATGAACTGAGAATAAGAACTTAGGGGTAATTAAATCGGAAGTGACTGCACAATAACTTATTAAGATTTAGTACTGTTCTTAGGTTTTAAACTGCTGAAGCCCTTCAGTATAACATATAAAAAACCCCTGGTTCTTTCCAGTATTATATTGTTACAAATACTGGAGTGACATGACTATTGGCAAACATTCTAGATGCCATCTCTTTTGTAAATAGTAAACCAAACCATTCAGAAAAGAATATATGTAGTGTAGTACAATGGATTCTTCTTACACTATTTGTGATCTAGCCATTATAAAAAGATTTAAACATGCAGTATGTATATAACTCTTTCTTAGCTTCTCTGCAAGAGCAGAGTTTTCTAAGTGGTCAAAAACTTTTCTCCTTTCTTCATGACAGTGCTTAGGCTCTGATGTAATTTTAGCAAGCTGTTTCTAATACTTCAGAAGCTGGAAAATGAGAACCTCAGCTTGCATAATTGTCTTGTGCCATATTTTGGATAAAGCCACCTATTGCTGCAAGCTACAGTTTTGCTTCAGTCGCATTTCTTCAAAGAGCATTTTTGTATCCTTTCAGTGATATACAGTAACATAGTTACAAGTCTTTGACGGAAACTGCTACTTTGGAAATGAAAGTAAGTGGTAAAAGTGTCAATATAGATTTTCTTGGATGGAAGTCAAAACATGGAATTTGGTATAGTGTAGTAATGCGGGAAATCAAACCCAAGTTTCTCGGTTGGCATCACTGTACAGCTAGCATGTTAAGCTTCTATGCCACCCAAAGCAGAAGTTTGTCCTGCCTGGCTTCAGAGATTTCATTTGTGTGTAATTATGTAAATGATGTTCAAATAGACAGAATAGTAAAGACAAAATACATCTCTTGGCATCAGATGTCTGCTTACCCAGGAAAAAAAAATACTACAGAAAATAATAAGTTTGTGCAAGGCTACAGTAAGGTTAGACCAGCAAATACTAGAACTACAAAACTCTTTTGGGAAAACATATGCAGTTTGCCAAAGATAGTGTAATAATCTCAAAGTGCTTATGTAATGATGATTTAAACTTGCCAAAGTTTCCCTTACCATGATGAATTTCATAATCTCCAGTTCCTTTTCCTTTGAAGACTGCTAAACAAGGCTGATACACATACAGTTTGTTGCAGATGCTTGGTGAGGAAAGACAGTCAAACTTGCCAACCTATTTAAGAGACAGTGCTATTTTAATTAAGGCATCCTAATTTATATAAATTAACATATTTTGAAAAGCATTAAGTTAGGATAGATTCATTTAAAAAAGATAAAAAATATAGAGAAGTAGTAGCCTTTTTATAAACAACAGAGGTCTTAAGACAATCTTGTTACTGCTGTTCAAGGAAAACTACTTGCACAGCTATAATAGGTTGTTTGCTAATTTTTAATTTAAAGGCAAAAGCAGGGAATAAAGTCTTAAAGAATCCTCTTTTTTTTTCCCCCTCCAAACAAAATAGCAAGGAAGCAAAGAGCCATCTAAAATAAATGTGACATTAAAATTCTTCTAGTTAATGCAACAATTCGTGAAAAATAAATACCTTATAGAACAATACAATCCATATGTCTTTAGTACAAAGTTTGAATTTGGATTCTTTTTATTAAGAAAAAATTCAAGAGAATAATAGGGTTTTCTAACTAAAATACAGTTTCCTTTACATCAAGTTGATGTTAAGTGTCAACTTTTCATTGTGAGCTGAATAGGATCTGCAGCAACATTTCCCATAAGAGAGGAGATTTAAAAAATAATCTTCCCTAATCACTTCTAAATTGTTTAAACTGCATGGGAAACTTAATTGCTTGCTTTAAATAAGAAGCTTTACTACAGGGCCACCATATGATAGTGTATCTCTTTCCGTACTAGAGGTGGCAGGTGGTAGTAACAGCTTATCATAATGAAACCCATAATGACTTGCTCTCTGAATTTAAATGGTATTCTACACTAGATGAGTGAGCAGTCTTACCTGAATATGTTCATCTTTAAGTAAAAATTTAAGTTTCTTAAATTCCTGTGTACTTGCTTTATCACTGTCCCCAAACTGGAAGAAAAGTAGCCATCGGTGATGAGCCAGACGGTCCTTTAAATGAAATTAAAAAAACCCAAAGAAAACAGTAAGAACAAACCCAAAACACAGCAAAATCCAACTTACACCAGCCTGTAAATTCCTCTTATATTTTATAAAGGTAAATGCTCTTCCCTAACTGACCTCCTCCACTCAACAAATTATTTCATGTGGTCCTTCCACTAAAGTTAATTTTACTGAATCATACACAGGAAATAGGAAAAAAAAAAACCCTGAAAACCAGTTGTCTACATGCCACCCTCTCTACTTCTAGTTTCCCTGGACATCAAGCTTTTAAGTGACACTAGAAGTCTGAAAAGAGGTTTCCTTTTTTTTTTCTCAGAGGCATGAGAAATTTTTATGACTTCTATTTCAGTCCATATGTAAATTATTATGGATTAGTAAGTATTCTTTTTCTTTCTTACATCACTGATAAAAACATTTGAAATAAAATTCTCTGCCATGTAGTTGATTAAAAAAACCCAAAAAATAGAAAGCTACAGTTGCAGAGTGAGCTGCAATTGCAGTTTCTGTGGTGTTCTATTTTCCTATGAAATACATGACCCCTCCTTACTTTTGTTGTTCTGCTAAACAACAGAAATAAATACAGACAAACAATGTTAAATACTTTTGGCTACAGGGGAGAAAAATAATTTTCAGTTAATGAAATACTAGATGGTTTTATCAACAGGACTTAAAAAAATATAAGAACTATTTAAAATATAAAAATATATTATTTAAAGAAATCTTAACTTTTTTTTAACGTACCTCTAATGATACTGCAGAGATAATTTCAAAGTCTGGCAGATGCTGCATTACTTCCTGATATATTTCTCTGGCATCCAAGGAGTTCAGAAACTAGGAAGGCAAGTTAACTGTGTTTGTTATAAGGAATTACAACCATCAGCCTGATTGTTGATGACTACTACTCAATGCATCAGGGACATAATTCTGATTTGTTCCTTTCCATTAACTGAAGAGTAGAGTTAATATTTGATCAGCTTCTTTTTCATATATATAGGTTCTCAAATATCCCTCTCAGAATACTGCTTTTTAGTTTGCTTTCCCACAATATTAAACTCAACATACTGCATTTTGTCAAAACGGGTGTTAAGTATCTCAAAATTTCAAGCCAAATTTGCCAATCAAGTTTACAAGATTTCCAATCTAATTTTACAGCCTTCCTTAACTGCACTGTACAGATATTTAAGTTTCAGTGATTCTTTTTAAATTTAGGAAGTAATATGAATCAGTAACTCAGAGCTGGTAAGTTACAAGGTTGCAATTAGGCAGGTTACAAATTTAACTTCCTCCTTTTACACTTCTAGACAACAATAGTGACAATAAAGGAGCAAGCCATGCTTCAAACTGAGAAATGTCTCCCATAATTAGGGAAGTTAAACCTACCATACAAATGGAGGAGGAGGCTGCACTATTAGAATACAGCCGAACAGCATAATCTGTACCAACAGACAATGTAGGAGTACTTTTATCACACATGTCAGTACTCTGTTCAGTGTAGCATTTCTCAGACTTGAGACACCTGAGGCATATTCCTTCTGGAATAAAAACTGGCAAACCTCCCAAGCTTGCCCAGCATAGCTGGGTTGCAGTTTCAGAACTAGTTCTTGGACCTGTCACAAAGCACATCCCACCCCTGGACTCCCTCAGCTGTCCAGGGAGACTCCTGGGGAGGCTGGTACAGGCTGCTGCTACTGCAGTGTGCTCCTGGCCACCCAGTGTACCAGCAAACGGGAACTACCCCCAGGAATGGGCTGCCTTAGAAGCCAGGAGGCTCATACCAGCACATATAAACTTAGAGGAAAAAGGAAAAAAAAACATCTTTTCAGTTGTATATAATAAATCTGGAAATTATTTATACGCTCCTTTGTCATTGTCATAACCTTATTTTATCTAAATACAGAACGGTTGAGAAACAACTCGTACCAAAACACCTCCTTTTTCTTTGTTATTTATGGTGGCTCCAGGTGGAAAGTATGCTGTAGTACTAGATGAGATATCTAAATTATCACAAAGCTCACCCTGGGTGCCACAGTCCATCCAGCCTACGTTAACAAGACCTTCCTGTAATAAAAAAAACAGTAACACAAAACAACAAAAACAAACATAAAGAGTATTTTTAAATTTCAGGTTCAGAAATGCTTTTGAAAATCCCAACTCAAGCAATTATATATAACATTTAGAGAATGGAATGAGACCACATTTTAAATAATTAGTTAATATTAATTTGTATTTTATAAAATTCTTCAATAATAGCTACTAAGTAGTAATATCTACTAAGTCAAAATATTTCACTCTTCTGAAAGCAATTTGGTGAAATCTTTGTTTCACTAAACTCAGTGAGAGTTGTGGTGACAACTTTATGCTTTCAGTTCTGTTATTTTAACTGGAACAGGTGTTACGTTCAGAGTGTCACACAGCTTACCAACATGCCAGCAAGCTTAAGGCGCGTTTGGTAACTCAAGCAATCTGCAAAGTAAAAATTATTTATTTACAAACATAAAACTTTATTAAGAAAAACTATTAATGCACTAAAACAACTCCTGTTTAGAATTATCCCTTTCCTCCATACAAAGGTAAGAAACACAGAATTCTATTTTCTAATATGTTAATATTTTATTTGCTATACTAAGATTGACCTTTAAAATCTCTTCTTAACCAATGTTTAAAGAAACCAAACCCAACAGGTATATCTAGATACTGTCTTGGAATGAGATTTCAATGGAAAATTCAGTGTTCTGATAATAACTCACTATAATAAATACATTGTATGCTCTAATTACCCATCCAGACTTCCAACAGTTACCTTCTAATGCAAATTTATTTTCTGAAATAAGATGTATAAAACTGACTTTAATTGGACCAAAGTTGAAAATTTAATAACAAATGGACTGCAACTTGTCATCAGGCGATTTACAAATGTAAACCCAAGATTGCAGCTCTGATTATTCAGTTCACAGAGCAAAGGTCTCTTCATAAGACTGAGAAATCTTTATTTGTCAAAGGTGTAATGCATTTACTTAGCTCTACCAGCTAATCAGGGCAACCTTCTCATACATTGTATCCAATACTGATCCGAAGAAAGTGACAGCTACAAAAATTAATGCAAATCTAAAATCTGGCATGACAGTGGTGGTAAGAGCCAATTATTATATCCAAACCTAAGAGAAAAAGCTCATTTTTGATAACTAGTGGTTTAATGGGTGATACACCCTTTGTTCTACTCAGCTATCATGACAAGCTGGCATGCACTCATTGGAGCTTCAGCTGGAAACTGAAGTCAGAGGCCTTTTCTGTCAGTTCCCTTCCTGAGGGGTTACACTTGAGTGCTGCTGTAATGACTAAAGGGACATTACAGAAGCACAATAGCATAATCTATTAATGTCTTTTTTGTCAAACTGTCTCTAAAACAGAGTTTAAAATGACCCACAGTCCAAATACTATGATCACCTAACATGTTTTGTAACTTCTATTAGAAGCAAAAGGGATTATGCCATTATTCTCTTTGCCATATTTGAAAACTATTTAATAGACCTACCCCCACGTTCAGCACAGAAGGTGATCAGCCAACCAACACCAGAAGCAAATGAAGATTCAATGGCATTAACAAAGTTTCCTACAAGTGAAACAATTTGCATCAGTTTATGACTATTTAACTGTCTGTGAAACAAGGAGGTTTTGTGTTTTTATTAGTAAATTACAGTAAACTATGTTTAATCTCAAAAATAACACTTAGCAATAGTTGACAGATTCAGTTGCATACATAAGTTTCTGTCATATTTTATATTGTAAAAGCAACTTCAAGAACACACCCCCAGGCAAAATACATGAACATTACCTGCCCATAACTCGGTGACTGTGCTTGTAACATATTGCATGGCAAAGTTCTTTAAGCTCTCTTTTGACCTGTCTCCATAATATTTCACTGGTTGCTATACAAGACAAAGAATAAAGTTTATAATGTAAAAAAAAAAAAAAAAAAAGAAAAATCACCCCCAAACCTACATTGTTTTAATACAACAGTATTTACACAGCTGTGGGATTCCTCCCCAAACCTTAGCTCTAACTGTTCTCTTCTTCCCATATGGCAACGTTTAGAATTCAACTTTTATTTAAAATTTGTAATGTGATTTATTTCCAAGCTGCAAAGCATGATGGACATAATGCAGCTAGCATGGAGGAAATCTTATGGAAGGAATTTCCAGGTTTATTTAGGTATGTGGACATATTCTTTAGACTCAAACCCACAGGCTATTATTTGTATTTGAGAAGTCCTTTACAATGCTGTAAGAGAATCTGTTCAAGTAGACTTACTGCTTTGGTACAGCACCACTGCTGACAGCATCTCCTCATATCATGTGATAGGTTGCACAGTAAAATGATTCCAAAAAAAGCACTGTATAAACCAGGTATCTATTTTTGAAGTTAACTTTCTAAAATAATTTAACCAAGGTGAAGGAAGAGAAAAAGCAATTTATTAAAAGGAAATAATATATTAAAAGAAAGATCTTTATATAGATCTGTGATTGACAAGCATTGAAGAAATACCCTTCCAGATTTCAGTCTTTCTTAAAATACTTGACGTTTCATCACTCACCATTCCAGTTTTGAAAACATACAGACTGGGGTAACTGTTGATCCCCTTAATTCGACAAAGCATTCTGTTATCTCCACAGTTGACAGCTCCGATGCGTATCAAACCATCCATCTCCTTAGCAAACTCCCTCCACTAGAAAAAAAAAGGGAGGGGGAAGAAGGATATTTTCTTATAAAGATATATTTTATTCATGGCATCTTGTTTTTATTTTCAGCTTCAGTGTAAAAATCAGCTTCAGTTTTAGGCTGTTAAAAACAATGATGTTTCAGTGAATTTGCTTGTTACACGTACCGTAGGTGCTAGATCATGGCAGTGGGAGCATCGAGGAGAATAAAAATTAACAAACCACAATTCTCCTGAGTTAACAGCAGCATCTAGATGGAAAGAAGAAAATTGCAAGTAAAGCACATATACAATGTAGAATGTACATTTACACCACATTGTTTTCCCCAATAGCTGAATTACGTATTTATGTCAGACACAGTAACTCCGATGGGATAATGCTCATACTGGCTGTTGTAGACAAGAGGACATCAGCACCCTGGCTTTCAACATCTGTTCTATTAAGAATAAGTTTACTCTCTACAGATTAACCTAGCTGAAATGTGTGATCCTGTAAGTCTGGTTACCTTTAAAAACAAAACAAAAGTTATAGAAGATTTATACCCACTAGAAGTTTCAATTTCCTGTAACACTTAGTGTATTTTCATGTTCCATGAGGAAATATTTTTATTTAGAATCCCTGTCTAATGGGTGAAAATGCAATTTACAAATCCAAGGTAATATAATTACTAGAAAAGTCAAGGGAATCAGAATTAAGTACTCCTGCTCATAAAAGAAAACAACAGCAACAAAATATACATGCAGAGGTTATCAGCTTGAATTAGGTGGCTTTCAGTGTCTCAATTTCTGAACATAATTTTTATAGTGTATTTCCTAAGTTATATTTGCCTATATTAAAATATCCTCACAATCAAGCCAGCTAAGAAACATGTAGATTCTGCAAATCAATTAACCAAAGCAAGACCAGGTTCTGATGGAGAGCATCATGTGGTTCTGCTATTAGAATAGTTTACAAAATGGCGTCAGCATGTAGATCCACTCCATGTAAAGGAAACTGCACTCAAATGCAGATGAAAAAAATCACACAAAATCCAGTAATTTTTCTCTCTAGTTTATCTTAGTTGTAAGCATCTTAGCCATAATTTAAAACGAAAAAAACCGATCATGTCCTCACTGAAAATGTTATCTTTCCACACACTGTTTTACTTAGCTATGTATTTAGTATCTGGTATCCCCCTTCTTGTCTTGAACCTGTTGTGCAAAGCACAACTGACTGAATTTCACAGGAAAAAAAATAGTAGAAATATAATAGAAAAGTTCTATCAGGTGCACTTTTTGACAAGTGACCAAAATAATAGTAAAGACAAATTAGGAGAAATAAAATTGTAATTTGAGTAATTACTTCTTATACATCTCACAAAATAGCTTTTCATTTTAATCTAAACAGTTTAATGATATGGATCTATTTGCTAACTAGCATTTACCAGGAAGTGCTGTTGGTTTTGGTTTGTTTTTCTTATCTTAGGATGATTTTCTGATAGTTTTTTGCAGAGAAATGTAAAAAAAAATCTACAGATACAGAGCTCAGAATGTAAAAGTTGTTATTTTGGATTGCCATATTGTCAAACAGATAGCTATTAATTTACAACTTACCAAATTCTCCTCTATCCAATGTTATAATTTCAGGATCATCATCATAAATACCTATTAAAAAGAACGACAATTGCTTTTTATTTTTGCCATCATTTAAAACTAAGAAAGAAATTATCATCTTATTCACAAGACAGAAAACAGAAGACATTACATTTAAATTCAAGTACTAAGTTGGCAAAGACAGTTTTTACCACAAAGCTGTATTTATTTAGTTATATGTAACTCTGGTTTAATCTCTTGCTACAATAGCTACCATCAGAACACAAAAGTTATTTTGGTGTTTAAGCAGACCAGCCACTGACTGAGCACAGAGTTTAAACTACCACTGTTACGGCAAGAGTAGTAGAACTAGCACCAATGAGTTGTCATATTAAAATGCAAGAAGCTTCAGCTGTCAGCTAGAGGGCTATGTCTGGAAGCTTTTACTTCTCTCAGCCTTTTGTTATACAAAATATTTAGATCACAAAGGTGTTTCAGCTACAAGCTTCTCTACTAACAGCATGTGTGAACACAGTGGAATGAAGTGGACAGAATAAAGATAAGGCAGACAGCTTTTCTAAAAAGCTAACCAGTCCTACCTAGAAAATGACCTACTGCTTCAAGTATGCAAGGAGGGCAGTGCAGAGATCCCAGAAATACTATTAGACAGCATTATATTATGCTACTACAGCTACAGATCTTTTACAGTACCTAACATGGTGAGCTGCCATTTCACCCGAGGTATACAAGGATTAAATGCAAATAAATAATGAGAGGAATTAATTTCTACATGTGACAAGATAATTTCTATATTACCATACCACTACATGTATATATCATGTAATGTAATGCATTCACCCATACATTTATAAAAATACCTATCATTTTATATATACATACATATAAAAGACATATTTAAATAGGCTCAACAAAAATGTCCCTCAAAATCCACTTACTTTATCTAAACATAAAAGGTCTTAATGCATTAATGAGTTAAAAAGAATACTGATGAAACATTAACACTGGAATTCCAAGTGAGAGAAAAAAAAACCACTTTGCACTTTAAAAGAATAAACAACAAGTTGGATAACCAATAAAAGGGTAGGCAGCAGGAACAAAAGGCTAGGTAAATAGATTATTACATTTTTAGGTAGCCATTAACAGGGCAAATCAAAGATTGGGTCATCAACAGAGAGAAAATGACAGCGACAGGAAAGCAACCGAGCGGGCAGAAATCTGGAAAGGATACATCAGAAATGCATAAAAAGATCTGAATATTGCATTTACTTGTGACTGCTTTAAGCATGTCACAAACAAACATGTTTGGTATAGTTTGGTATAGTATGTTATACAAACATACTATAACTTACCAAAGTCATAGCGGTAGAAGTGCCAGCTTTCGTAACGGCCTCCCTGCTGCTGATCTTCAAGACCTTTCTCTCCATATTTATCATACTTCTTCCGCAGATCTTCATCTTTAAGTACTTCATAGGCTCTATTTATTTTCAAAAAATTGTCATGTGCATTTGGATCATTCTATTTAAGGAAAACTACAATTAGTAAGTAATGAATAAACCATATTGTATGTATAATACTGAGAAAATAGTCTCAGGAAATATTTTTATACCCCTACTAAAGATGTCAGTTGTGATGGAAGCAGACATTACACAGCAATCTACAAACAAACTACAGTAAAGTTTTATTTTCCTGAAGCCAGATGAGTCTTCTGCTCATTTCTTCCTCCTGACTAAAGTACCAACTGAAACACATAGCAAACTGTTAGGAATAATCACTTTTCTTTCAACTCTTTTCAGTGCAAGAAAAAAGTACTCAAGAATGAAGACTATTTCCTCTATAATCTTCTACTCCCTTAGAATCCCCATTTGTTAAGTTTGAAAATCTCTGCTATAAAGACAGATTCATCCCTTCTGATCTTACAGTGTAGACAGAGGCCCCCTTTTTATTTAAAAAGCATTCTAGTTCTAGGTAGTTTTGGAATTAGAAGGGTGAATAATGTGCAGACATATTTTGAACTCCAGTTCAGGTTCTTACACTGGTGTAGTATGTAACAGAGGTGAGCGAACTCTGCAGCTCTCTCCCAGCCATTTAACTTCTGCTTACATGTTTAAACCAAAGAACACCTTCTCTTAAAGATTCTTGACTTACTTACCTAGGTACATATGAAATTAATTACCATAATGGTATTTGTGTAACATATTAATATTCTATGTCTTCATCTTTAATGTTGAAAATAACTTGTTAAAAAATCTTAAGTAGTATTTGTATACTTGGAAACTACATAATCTGACCCAAAATATTGTTTTGAAAGGTTATAAACACAGGGAAGACAACACTTGCACAGTTAATAGCTACAAGTTGGCATTGCTAACTTTGTTGAGATTTGGCTTTCTCTTTGAGCTTGGTCATGTTCAAAACCACTGTAAAATGTGGGTACTCGGAGGCTTCAACATACTCTGTGCAGGCAGGATCTGAGCTTGTATGGAACATCAGTGCCTTCTGGGGCTCTGTGCAGGTGCAGCTGCACATACAAAGGTCCAAACTCTTGTTATTGCCTGTGAATTTCTGATTATTTCAGGAAATCTTGAGACAAAAGTGATGACATTTAAATTTAAAAATTATTTCTTTGGAAAATACAGACTGAGCTGTTCTGTCTTTTCTAGTTAGTCTAGAGCTCCTTATTACCCTCCCTCAACACACCTTGGCAGTCCAAGAATTTCTGCTTTGTCCTGTTTGATACTTGGAGACTGTTGTCACAGTACAGGCTGGTGTTGTTTGATGTTTACATGAAACTTCACGTTAGGAAAACAGTAAGTTCCCCTTAGCTAAACAGAAAGAGATAATCTCACCAGTTTACCAACTTGATGAGATGGTACAGGTGTAAGTTTTCCTCTATTTAGAGAAACAGACCTGAGAATTAAATATCTTGCTTCTTTTTTATTACAGCAATTTAATATGGCCCAAATTCAACACAACTATGTATTACCAGTCTATCCTATTTTGCAATTTACTGTGCAGAAAATCTGAGCTGAACCGTTATCAGGTGGTTGCATCACCTCACAAGAACAAAGAAACATTTTAGACAAGTGAAACCCACTTTTTGTTTAAACATTAAGACCCTTAGATGAAAAACTTGGACCTGTTAAGGATGTAACTTACCTGATTTTTATCAGGGTGCAACTTCAATGCCAATTTTTTGAACGCTTGTCGTATTTCTCTACTACTTGCTTCTTTGGATACTCCAAGTAAACTATAGTAGTCCTGATCAGTGCACACAAAAACTATTACACATACTAGAACTAGCAATAAAGATCTTTTCAAATATCTACTATAATCTCTTTTGGATACTAAGAACTCCATTACGAAGCTTTTGGAATGTTTACAGGTTCTGATTTGAGCAGGTTTTGGATTCAGTCTCTAGTAAATCAGCCAATGTTTGGAGATACAGGTGTATTTATGCCAGAGCTCTTCAAAATGCTGGTTGTCCTACTTCATGTCTCAAGTGTGGCAAAAGTTACAACCTGTAAGAAGAGGGGTGAAGAAACAATTAAGTATATTTCCCTCTTTATTCAATAAATACACATCTATAGCATGTAAAGAGCCCCGCTGCCAGCCTGTGCAGGCTGCTCACGGACATGAAGCCTCTTGATGGCTCAGGACTGGCTCTCAGAAGCCCACGCAACGGACAGACCATCCCTTGATGGGGTTTGCTGGGACTGAGTTTATCACGCACAGCTTTACCCAATTACTCTAAAGACCAGCTACTTACTTCGCATTTTAAACAGGGTGTTAGCGCGGCTCGCTTTTCCTTCCAACCGAGCCCTGGTGCCTGCGGGGGGACCGGGGACTGCGCTGCCGCCCCGCGCGGGTGAAGCCGCTCGGCCCCAGGACCC